CAGTCTCCCAGTGGGGACCTATTTCACTGTTAGTGCTTGGAGTTATGAAAAGCTTCAGAGGGGTAGCCAATTTAGTCTGTAACTAGAAAAACAACGAATAATCTAGTAGCACCTTAAAGACTAACAAAACATGTAGATGGTATTGCATCTCCTCTATCAGCTTCCTATAACTTGAACACTCTAATTCACTATTTTTTTTCCCTTCCTTTCTCCTACACCCATCCCATCCATTTTTGTTGGCATTATGAAGAAAGCCTTCCTGTCTTCCCCCATAGCAAATGTTGCATTTAGAGATGTTGCTATTTTCCAAATATATTATTTTCAAGTAGGAAGAAAACTTTAAGTTGCCATATTGATGTCATAAGGACATAAGAACGGCCATGCTGGGTCAGACCAAAGGTCCATCTAGCCCAATATCCTGTCTTCTGACAGTGGTCAATGCCAGATGTCTGAGAGAGAGTAAACGGAACGGGGAATCTTCAAGCAATCCTTATCCCTTTACCCATTCCCAGCCTCTGATAGGGCTTATCTAGGCTATGCAAAAGTGTCGAAAGAATATGCAAATTCCGTGGGCGTTTGCATATCTTCTTCCAATCCCACTTTTGAAAGCAGAGCTTTCGAAAGTGAAAGTAGTTAAGACACGGCTTTTTGGGCGAAACCTCCCCCCTCTTTGTCGAAAAGCCGTTCTTCCTCAGAACTCTTGGGTGAATGCCATCAAGGGTCCCAGTGACTTGTTACTATAAAGTTAATCAGTTGGTTCCAAAACCTCCTCTAATGACACCTCAATCTGGGACAATTCCTCAGACTTGTCACCCCCCAAAAAATGACTCAGGTTTGGGAATCTTCCTAATCTCCTCAGCTGTGAAGGCTGAAGCAAAGAATTCATTTAGTTTCTCTGCAGTGACTTTATCGTCTTTGATTGCTCTCGATCGTCCAGAGGCCCCACTGGTGATTTAGCAGGCTTCCTGCTTCTGATGAATTTGAAAAATATTTTGCTATTACTTTTTTATTTTTTGGCTAGCTGTTCTTAAAACTCCTTTTTGGCTTTTGTTATTATTTTTATACTTAATTTGACGGTTTATGCTCCTTTCTGTTTTCTTCACTAGGGTTTAACTTCCACTTTTTAAACAACGCCTGTTTATCTCTCACTGCTTCTTTTACTTTGTTATTAAGCCATGCTGGCACTTCTTTGGTTCTCTTACCGTGTTTTTAATTTGGGGTATACATTTAATTTGGGCTTCTATTATGGTGTTTTTTAAAAACTTTCCATGCAGCTTGTGGGGATTTTATTTTTGTTACTGTACCTTTTAATTGCTTAACTAATCTCTTCATTTTTGTGTAGTTCCCCTTTCTGAAATTAAATGCCACAATGTTAGGCTGCTGAGGTGTCTTTCCCATCACATGGATGTTAAATTTTATTACATAATGTTCACTATTTCCAAGAGGTCCCGTTTACAAGATCCTGTGCTCCATTTAGGACTAAATCAAGAATTGCCTCACCCTTGGTGAGTTCGAGAACCAGCTGCTCCAAGAAGCAGTCATTTAAAGTATCAAGAAATGTTTCCTAGTTTTTGCAACCTCTTAGGTTTTATATAAACAGTAAGAAAGTTATGACAATTAAAACAGTGTCTCAGAGAAATGGATCATCTGTAGCTAGATAAACAGTGAGATTATAATACTTACTGAAGTTAAATGCCAAGGAGCATTGAGATTTTTACATTCATTGTGAGTGACAATGAGTCTTCAACTCCTGTGACTTTATTTCTGCTATGCTAAGTGATTGATTTAGTAGATTTACAACTGAAGACAGTTATTCAACTGGTCACTCAGGGTATGTCTAGACTACATGGCTTCATCGACGGAGCCATGTAGATGAGCTTTCTAGACATAGGGAAATGAAACGGCGATTTAAATAATTGCCACTTCATTTACATCAAATGATCAGCTGCTTGGCAGCACAGCGCAGTAGTCTGGATGCTCCAGGGTCAACAACGGAAGCCTTTGTCAACTTCCCCGTTATGCCTCATGGAATGAGGTTTACCGGGGTGGTCGACAAAGGTTTCTGTTGTCGACCGCAGAGCGTCCAGACTACTGCGCTGTGCTGCCAAACAGCTGATTGGCACAGCATGGCAGCCATTTCGATGTAAATGAAGTGGCGATTTAATTAATCGCCGCTTCATTTCCCTTTTTCAAGTACACTAATCTACATGGCTCCATCGACGGAGCCATGTAATTGAAACGTACCCTAAAGATCAACATTCTGATTTGCTGAGAGAATAGAGAAGTCCTGTCGTCAGAATGTAGACAGTTGAGAAAAGTACAGTTCTTGAAAAGCACTCTATAAAATGGTTTGGTGTTAAAATGGAAAGATATATCTGTTAGGTCCCACAGGGATTTGCCCAGGCATGGATCTAGTCAATATTTTGATTAATGACTTGGATGATACCAAGGTGGGAGGGGTTGCAGGCACTGTGGAAGACAGGATTAAAATTCAAATTGATAAACTGGAAAATAGGTTTGAAATCAACAAGATTAAATTCAATAGAGAAATGCAGAACATTACAATTAGGAGGGAAAAACCCAATGGACAGCTACAAAATGGGAAATAACTGACTAATGTGGTAGTACTACAGACAAGGATCGGGGGTTATAGTATATCACAAACTGAAAATGAGTTGATAATGTGTTGCAAGTTGTAAAGAAGGCTAATATTATTCTAGGTATATTAACACAGGAGTGTCATATATAAATCATAGGTGGTAGTTCCAGAACTGGTGGGGACCCACCTGCAGTATTGTGACCAGCTGTAGGCACAGTACTTTCATAGAGATATGGACATAGTGGAGACAGTCTGGGTTCATGTAGTCTGAAGCAGAGGGGACTGAGGTGAGGATCTCATACCAGTCTTCAAGTATATAAATGGTTCTAAAGAGAAGGTGATGATTTTTTTTCTTACCTTCTGAAGACTGAACTAGAAGTAATGGGCTTAATCTGTATCAAGGGGGATTTAAATTAGTTATTAAGAAAAAAATGTCTAGCTACAAGGGTCATTAAATACTGGAATAGACTTCCAAGGAAGACTGTGGAATCCCTATTGTTGGCCGTTGTTAAGAATAGATTAAAATAAGCACATGTCTGCATAGGGCACTAGACTAGGTGACTTTTGATCCCTTCTAGCCCTACATTTCTATGATTCTGTGGGAACAATAAATTAATAACATTGTACTTCTCCACTTTTTTTCTCACAATTCTGAAGATATCTTTTAAACCAAATTAATGAGAACTCCAAATTAAAAAGTGTATGAAAACATGTGAACTTCAGTAAAGGGGATTAAGCCAAAATAAGTCTATTAAAAAACAAACTCAAAAGGTTGTGTTACCATTCTTTATCAGCCTCTTAAGCAACTTAATACTATCTGTGGACTACCAGGGAGTTAAATCTAGTTGAAGCCAATGACAAGTAGTACTTTAACAGCAAAACTATTTCTCATGTGCAGTACAGCACATAATCATTCCAGTTGAGAAGATAATCATTTCACAATTCCTGTTGAAGGTGAAGATTTAGACAAACCTAATCTCAAGTGCTATTGACTATGAATAGGTCTTTTTAAAGTATGTTCAGTATTTGACAAGAGGTTGGATGTGATATTGTATGAAACCATTGTTTATAATTCTTCTTCATATTGCACAAGGTTTTTTATAAATATTTAAAAATAACATTGCACATGCTGTGGCTCAGTGTTTAGTTTACAAAATGTTGTTTTTTGAATAGTGGCCCTCTAAGTGTTCTACTTCAGATGTGCATGCATCTCTCATATTTTTTATCAGATTTCTAGTTAGCAGTGGTTTTTCAGTCTGCATGTGCTTTCTTTGCCACCTCAGGGCAAATACTAAATCTCTGTAAGGGTACATGGGCCAACTGCCCTCAGTTCCTGCTGTCAACTTGACCTGAGACAGAACACTAGCATGTCCTCCTTGAGTTGTGGGAGTGTGAAGAATAACCAATAGCTTTAACTTACAATGGGACCCTTTTCCAAAGTCCGTTCCTAAACCACTGTGTGGAAAATCACAGGCCCCCAAAAGGGAGTCCAGATTTTGTATCTCCTTGTTATGAATCTACAGGTGCTCAACCTGCCCCAGGGATGAGAATGTACTCAGTCAGGTTGCAAGTGACATCTTCTGCATTTTTGAAGATCATCTCGGTTTCTGAGCTATGTATAACTGCTACCTCTGGATCTCAGTTCTTGTGTTTTCAAAGTATTAGGCCCTCCTGCTTGCCATTAGATCCGAAGTAGCACTTGGTGAAACTATCTTCAGTTCCAAATCCTGTTTTGAAGCTCCCTGCTCCTTCTGGTTATACTGCTCGGAGATCACTTGGAGTAGATCACTCATAGGAATACTCCTCAGAGGAGGAGGAAACATTATCCTGTGCAGTAACTGTAGTTCTTTAAGATGTATGCCCCTATGGAGGCTCTGTTGTTGCCCTCTGCTTTCATTGTTCCTTAGAAAACCTTAGTAAAGAACAACTGAGATAAGCTTGCTCGCATAACCATGTATAATGTCAGTGTCTGATACAAGGAGGCATAAGGCATGTGCAAGGGCTGAACAGGCAAAGCTAGTTATAAATGTGCGCTTGAAGGGACATACATCTTGAAAGTGTGTGGTGCGATGTGTTATGAAAATTTCTTTTTGCCATAAATTGTTTGAAATTAGGTGGAAAGGCTCTAGATGGGGATGTGTACAGCAACACATTTTACTCTTCGCTCACTGGAGTTAAGTTAGCTGAGACTTGTCTTATATTAGTTTAGTGTAGAAATAGCGCTTCGCTGTGTTTACTTTTCTTTGTGATTAAAACCTGTTTTATATATTTTTAAAAAAGCTGCTGAGAGATTATAGGAGAAGACAGATGGTTTAATGAATATGATCACATTTAAATTTCTTGGTCTGATTTGTCTTTTGTGTGGTAAGTTTCATTTTGCTCTTTGCCTCTATTTGTATAGGTACTGAGATAGTGAAACCATATACACCTGTATCTTGCTCCTTGAAATCAGATTTCAAAGAACCATTTTGCCATGATAGTACACACCTAATTTTAATGGTGAAAATTTATCCCAATGGACTGTTCACACCAGAACTCGACCACCTGCAAATTGGTAAGTGTTTTCTTTCACTAAATAATTTAGCTGTTTCCCCCACCGAAGTCTGTTTAAGTTGGGACCAACTTATGTATGAGCCAGCTTTCTACTTTGCCCTTGTTCAATTTAATATTTGAAACTTGTATTCCTTTAGCTGTATCCTGTCTAATTTTGCTAGGAACTGTATGCTGTAAAATATATATAATGAGGTCTAAACTTCTAGAATTTTTCTAAAAAATAATTATTTTTAATGTAAGGGTTTTTTTCCCCTAAATACATTATTTTTCGTTTTCTCTGCTATTTGGTAGAAAACAAAGTTCATTTTTGTGTGAGTGATGTTAGCACAATCCTCAATGCTTGTTGCTCCAAATGCATGACACACTTTTGACTCTGTCGTCACTAATCTAAAACATAGCCGTGTGTGTGTATTTATACCAATTCCCACCCCCGCAAAAAAAAATACATTGCACATCCATTTTTTCCACTGGTGACAGAATTAGAGAATGCACTGACATAATGTGTACACATGGCACAGTTTTTGAAAATATTCATACTACAGTGATGAAGGCAGCATAAGAACTTGAATAGAATAAGTCACCAGTATTCTGAGTCCCGCTACATTAACGTTTAGTATTCTGTTTGTTGTATAGGAGACTATATTTCTGTGAGCAATTCTGAAGGTAGCTTCAAGAAGTCGCAAGTTCAAACTTTAGAAGATCTCTTTTTGTTGGCAGCAGGCACAGGCTTTACACCAATGATTAAATTACTGAACTATGTTCTGACTAATGTTTGTACTGTGAGGTATGTATTCTCCTTATGGTTTGGTACCAAACCAGATAAATCTTTAATGAGGAAATGGAAGATAAATGTCTGAAATCGGTTCTGCAGGAATAACAGAAATGGATTAGGAAGTGTTGTACCTTAGATTCTATAAGCCTTGTTTATTTCAGGGACGTTTTCCTTCATGTGCAGAATTGGAAGCTCAAGCATAGATGGTGACTAGAAGCTGCTGGTATTTTTCATTGGTACCAGATGGTATATTATTGTCTCTTGCCCTGTGGAATCTGAAAGATCAGTGTCTTAGTTATAAGCATAAAAGCCGGTTCCCCCCAGCACCATCTCCGTGGGGCCCACAGGAGGCAGGGGAATAGCAGGGACCAGGCATGAGCTGGGAATCAGCTGTCCCGGCTTGCTCTGGGTCATCTCCTTCCCTGCTGTGCTTCAGACTTTTAAATGCATTAAGAGCCCGACAGCTCTTAATACATTTAAAAGGCAGAGCCGCAGCAGAGTTAGCTCCTGAGGCTAGGAACTAACTCCCTTGTGGCTCCCCTGCCTGTCGACTAGTCGATTAGTTGATTAAACTAATTTGAACATTGCTACCCTAGATGAGAAGAGTAAAGGAAATCAATGGGAGAATGTCTGCCATTGATCTTGTCCTCCAATCCCCACATCCATCCTCTCCCATGGTATAGACCCCACAGTAACTTCTCTTAAGGTACATTGACTCCAGTTATGTTATTTACATAGCAGAGTTGCATAGCGTCAACTTTCTGCTGAATTGTAGCTATAGCTTTGACTCATGTCAATTGTATGTTAACTCTGGCCTATGGTAACTTAAATATCTCTGTTAACTCTTTATCCACAAGCTAATATTATTGTTGAATATGAGGAATTGAAATCTGCATCAGATACAGACTACATCTATGTACATTTGTATCAGCTTAGTTAAACCTGTTCAGTAAAATGCAATTGCCAAGAAATGTGGAATGCAAGCATCTTTAATAGATTTATTACATACATGCTGGAATAATGATTATTTTAATTATAAACCTGTTCCTAATTAATTTATGCTAAGTTGAAAGAAATCTGTGGTAGACTGATTAAGTGTGGGCAGAGCCATTCATACCATTTTAACTAAAGTGGCTTAAAATTGCATCTTAATTTAAATTGGTGTAATTCTGCATGTAGGCAAGCCTTTAGTCATTCGACCCCTGCCCATAAAGGATGGAAAGAGGGGATGCATCCCTCTCAGCATTAGAAACTTCAGCTGCTTCCTGAATACCAATAATACCCCATACTAAAACCATCTTTTGTCTCTTCCCCTTGCCTCTCATTCAGCTCCCATCATCTCTAGCTTTCTCAAATGACTTGTGTTGTAGTTACTTATGAGTACAAAAAATTGTAGCACATGAACATTTGAGAGCCATGTCAAAATTCATGTAGAAAAAAAATGCTTAAAAACCCTGTGTTGATTAAACTAAATGAGTGCTGTGAGAGGAGACTATGCAGCATTATATAGATCTAATGCACCGCAGGAGCACTGGAGCCTTGATCACTACTGTCCTCTTGCTGCAGCCAGTCACCAAGATGGTTAGCTGTATTCAGCGGGTAGATGAAGTGACTCTTGTGTCTACTATTTCTGAAATGTCTATAACAATAATATCTAATCACTCTACATACCTGAAGTTTGTAAATTGTTCTGGGGTCATTTGGTATGATGGATGTTACATTAACTTCAATTTAAAATTAGAAGCATATTGTATCGGTACTGTGTTCCAGTGAGAAGTCACTGTTGGACTGTTGTGTTAATATCTCTACAGCACCCGTTTTCACCTAAATATTTTCAAAACCAGATTAGCTTATAATGTACTGCAATTTATAAAACTAATGGCAAATGATAAAACCAGAATCCATCATCACTATTTTGAAACTCAGACTTGATCAGTTTAACATGTACTGTATAATGATAAAATTACTTACAGGTATGCAGGGTTTTACTTCCTTATCAATTTAAATAGCATAGCACAGTAATGCTTAGATACCACTGAAATACTAAAGAAAAACTATTAGGTAGGTATATGATCCTGTTACTAAAGCCTGTGGAATTCCTAGAAAATGTATTCCACTTTTGTCCTTAAGAGATTATGACTTGTTGCATAATTCAGTAGTTCTGGAGATGAAGTATTTTCTTTGTTTGTTTATAATTATTTCCATGTAATTAGATATTGATATTGCAGTTGTGTATTTGTGTGATTTTTTTTTTTCTTAAGAATAGTGAAGTTGATGTTCTTCAACAAAACAGAAGATGATATACTTTGGAGAAATCAGCTGGAGCAGTTAGCCCTGAAAGATAAAAGGTAATCAATATTTTTGTAGAATTTCATTTATAAAATATGTGTTGTTGGAACTAGAGCACCAAGGTGCTATAATACAAGCCCAGGACCCCATGATACTAGGTGCTGTATTGATCATTCATTATTGATCATTACAGTTGGCATAGGAGAAGATCTGGCACCATTTTTTTTTCCAGCCAAAACTATCTGATAGTTACACAATTTGGGAAACATTTAAAAAAAAAACCCAACCCTCCAGTAAAATTATGCATCAAATCTGGAATATCAGCACTCATCCTAATGCTCATAAATCTGTTAAGGTGTATTGCTTGTTGGTGATGACTGCCTACAAAGAATAATGTGATCTGGCGGCTAGTTTTGCTCTGATTCTGATGATGTCTGCTAGTGCTTAATTGTTCTCTGGCATTTTACAATATATTTCAGAAACAGCCAAAAAATCTTGTAAATTTTTCAACACTGACAAAAACGCCTTTTAGTTAAGATCTCAAATAGTGAGTTAAAATCCAGAGTTAAAGGAAGTGAATATCTGATTTAAAAAATCAGCAACCAGATTTCCAATCATGGGATTATAAAATGTAGAAATAGTAACAGAATGGCTTAAAAGCTCCTATAATCAACATTATTCTGCGTGCCATTCAATATCGTAAAGTGTTACTAGGTGAAAAAAGTGAAAAAGTTTAAAATGCGTATGTGGAAATTAACGTTAATATTGTAATGATATGTAATATCATTTCTTCTGTGCCACCCCCCCCCAAATGTCAGCTTGCTTGCCATACAAAATTAAGAATAAATGTGATTTTTTTCCCCCAATTACAAGAAATGCACAGCTATGGCTTAGGACAAATTATTTTAAATTCATTTGTTCACAGTATTAATAGTATTAATTTATTAAAGTTGTAGTAGTTCAGGACAGCAATGTAGAAAATTCAGGATTCACTGGTGTGGTGTTCAGACACGTCGTCTTTTCTGTCCGTGATGATATACATTCATCTGTGTGTGTTTTTGTACATTTCCTCAGAATATCACACCAGCTCTGCACAGATAGCTAGCATAATAAACTTCAAGAAAGCCCCCAAAGACCACAGACTCAGATAAGATATGAAGGCACATTTATTGTTGAACGGAGTATATTGGTAGTCGTTGGTAGCCATGCAGCCCTGAGCCTCAACGCTTTGTATCTGTGACAATTAACACTCTCAGTCAGTAGTATGGGTTCATTATTGCCTCGTAGGCCAGAGAAAGATTTAAGTCGAGGTACCCCAATATTTATAGACTGAGACAATCAGTGCTACACACCTTCCATATCATCTTACGCATTAATGACACGTTTGGTACCTCCCCTTATACTTTCTTCCAAGATATTCCTATTCACTACCCATTGTTATGCTTTCACTCCTCATGTGTCAGACAAAATATTACTATTTATCACTTTTTGTCAAACTATTTTATCATGTGCTAAGTTGTGATGTCTTTGTGCTGTCCTGGTGGAATGTATTTACATATTTTGTGTGCTTTTAGCAGTGCTAGCAGTTATAGTGCTGATTTCATGTCCCAGACACTGACTTGCAAGGCCTGTCTATTACTCATAATATAACTCTTGTTTACTTTGGTTCAGGTCTCAGGACTTAAACTAGGCCTATGCTTCAGGCTCTTTTTCTCCTACAAAAGTTACTGAACTGGAGAATAATTTTGTTTTAGAGGCAGTCACTAGGTGCACTGTGGGCCAAATCTGGACCAACAGATGCTATTTAACGGATCGTGATTTTTTTTGTTTACTTATTACTGAAATGTGAAAAATATTTCTCTGGAGTCTGTATCTTGGCTCCTTGACCAAAAAATTTGACCTTGACAAAAAAAAATAGACTATCGCAGATTTTTTATTATTAATAATTATAATAAAACAGGGATTGTGTATAAAATAAGATATAAACAGTATCAAGGATGTGTTCTTTAAACTTTTAAAGTAGGTGACGGGATTTAATGTAGCAGAAAAATGACTTTAATACTAACAACTTCAGGGGTTACTTTGCTTCAATGTTTTCTTGAGTAATTGGGACTAGAACATTGCAGGGTAGAGAGAATATTATGTGTGTGACAATCTGTTGTCGATTCTCATAGAGATAGGGTTGGTAGTAAGATTTGATTCAAGCAAAAAGCTTTTCTTAATTTGAAAGTGCCACAGATGGTGTCACTTGGACAGTGACATTTGCCTCTGGGCATATTAAGAAAAACATGTATTTAGTGATAAAATTGTGTTTACTGCCTTCTACTTGCATTAGCACTGAAAGAGAACACTTTTATGGACCCCAGCAGGCTGCAGATTCTGTTCCATCATGTGTATGCTTCAACAGAATATTTCCATTAGTTACACTTGTGAAAAGCCTTTGAAGGCAGTGGCTTTCCACAGGAGTTCATTGCACGTCATGGCCTGAGGAACTTTATTAATGATATGCTGTATGAGATGTAAAGAACCCAACATGTCTGTCAGAAGCCAGGCTGAATTTTCAGGGCTGGTAATAAGAAAAAAAGATTAAATAGGGCTGTCAGTTAATCACAGTTAGTTCAAGTGATTAATTCAAAAAATAATTACAATGTAAAAATTATGATTCAGTTTTATTGAACTGTTTAAAAATAGACTATCAATTGAAATTTATTTACTATTTTTGAATTTTTTCTACATTTTCAAATATAGATTTCAATTGCAACACAATACAAAGTGTACAGTACTTTATTACAAATATTTGCATTTTATCATGAAGTGTAACTTAAAAATATAGGTGTGTGGGTGGGTTTTTTTTTTTTTTTTTTTTGGTGGTAGAACTGCACTCAAAAGTAAAACCATGTAAAATAAGCACAGGTCTCACCTGACTTCCACTAGATGAGTTACTCCCTGTTGGGTGACACCAACAGCCCTTGTAGTCCCAAGCCACCTCAAATCCATCTTTCCTGAGTTGTCAAGTGCTAGACACTTGGACTTTCCTCCTCTGATTTGACACTGCCGAAGCTTTGAAACCAGACCCCAGTTATCAATTCATTTGTGTCCCATGCGCCATGTAGGTTGCATAACAAACCTCTCTTCAGGTAAAAATAAGCAAAAGTTTTATTTAATAAAAAAGATTTAATGATGAAATAAGGGAGAGCAAACATACAAGTGACATAGTAAATAAACAGATACAACTTAGGCTTTATACTTTATTTAATAAAATCTTTTCTAATAGGCATTTCTTATTGCCTTTGAACTGTTTCCTAATTTATACCTTAGCCAAGGAAGGATCCAGCATTCACAGGCCACCGCCACCTTAGAGACTGTCCTTTAAGTTTTGTAAGAATACTCCAGTTTCAAGCCTCCTGCTTAAAAAGCTCTGTTCCTTTTCTCCTAGCAGAGAGGCTTATCATTATCCATAGTGCAGGAAATTCCCTACTGTCTGTGTCTCTCTATGAACTCTAATGGCTCATCATTTGTCTTTTCATGAGTTGTACAATGGATCATTATTTGAGTCCAGATTTGGGTAAACTCCTAGCTTGATAGGTGCCACTCCCTGTCTGATAACGCAGTGTACTATTGTGAGGTAGAGCCAAAATTTAAGCACCAATCTCTAAATACATATGTTCATAATCATATCTTTGATACATTTCTCAAAGTGATTACAGGCAGTCCCCGAGTTACACGGATCCGACTTATGTCGGATCCGCAGTTACGAACAGGGTTTTTCTCGCCCCGGAGGACGGGAGCGGCAGGACGCCCAGATGTGCCGCGGTCCTGCCGCCTGCGTCCTCCGGGGCGAGAAAAGCTGCTCTGCGTCTCCCTGGTCTGCTGGGGGGGGGGGGGGGGGGGGGGCGGCGTGGCC